AGAAACTTAATTTTTCGCCCAAAAAAAAAACGTAAGGGGTACCACTGTCGTTTTTTTTTTCGGGGCCGAATTTTTGAGTTTCGATATCTCAGCTCTGGAAGGGGCTAGAGCCTCCATTTTTGCACTCAGGTCTAAGTCTCATGGCCCTCTATCAGAATTTGGGAAGATTGGAGAAACTTAATTTTTCGCCCAAAAAAAAAAAACGTAAGGGGTACCACTGTCGTTTTTTTTTCGGGCCGAATTTTTGAGTTTCGATATCTCAGCTCTGGAAGGGGCTAGAGCCTCCATTTTTGCACTCAGGTCTAAGTCTCATGGCCCTCTATCAGAATTTGGGAAGATTGGAGAAACTTAATTTTTCGCCCCAAAAAAAAAAAACGTAAGGGGTACCACTGTCGTTTTTTTTTCGGGCCGAATTTTTGAGTTTCGATATCTCAGCTCTGGAAGGGGCTAGAGCCTCCATTTTTGCACTCAGGTCTAAGTCTCATGGCCCTCTATCAGAATTTGGGAAGATTGGAGAAACTTAATTTTTCGCCCAAAAAAAAAACGTAAGGGGTACCACTGTCGTTTTTTTTTTTCGGGCCGAATTTTTGAGTTTCGATATCTCAGCTCTGGAAGGGGCTAGAGCCTCCATTTTTGCACTCAGGTCTAAGTCTCATGGCCCTCTATCAGAATTTGGGAAGATTGGAGAAACTTAATTTTTCGCCCAAAAAAAACGTAAGGGGTACCACTGTCGTTTTTTTTTTCGGGCGAATTTTTGAGTTTCGATATCTCAGCTCTGGAAGGGGCTAGAGCCTCCATTTTTGCACTCAGGTCTAAGTCTCATGGCCCTCTATCAGAATTTGGGAAGATTGGAGAAACTTAATTTTTTGCCCCAAAAAAAAAAACGTAAGGGGTACCACTGTCGTTTTTTTTTCGGGCCGAATTTTTGAGTTTCGATATCTCAGCTCTGGAAGGGGCTAGAGCCTCCATTTTTGCACTCAGGTCTAAGTCTCATGGCCCTCTATCAGATTTTGGGAAGATTGGAGAAACTTAATTTTTCGCCCAAAAAAAAACAAAAAACGTAAGGGGTACCACTGTCGTTTTTTTTTCGGGCCGAATTTTTGAGTTTCGATATCTCAGCTCTGGAAGGGTCTAGAGCCTCCATTTTTGCACTCAGGCCTAATTCTCAGGGCCCTCTATCATAATCCAGAGTTTCAAGATGATCAGAGAAAGTCAAAATTTTGACCTGAAAAAAAAAACGACAGTGGTACCCCTTTAGTTTTTTTTTTTCGGGTCGAAATTTTGAGTTTCGATATCTCAGCTCTGGAAGGGTCTAGAGCCTCATTTTTGCACTCAGGTCTAATTCTCAGGGCCTCTATCATAATCCAAAGTTTCAAGAAGATCAGAGACAGTCAAAATTTCGACCTGGAAAAAAAAAACGACAGTGGTACCCCTTTCGTTTTTTTTTGGGGTCGAAATTTTGAGTTTCGATATCTCAGCTCTGGAAGGGTCTAGAGCCTCAATTTTTGCACTCAGGTCTAATTCTCAGGGCCCTCTATCATAATCCAAAGTTTCAAGAAGATCAGAGACAGTCAAAATTTCGACCCGGAAAAAAAAACGACAGTGGTACCCCTTTCGTTTTTTTTTTCGGGTCGAAATTTTGAGTTTCGATATCTCAGCTCTGGAAGGGTCTAGAGCCTCCATTTTTGCACTCAGTCTAATTCTCAGGGCCCTCTATCAGAATCCAGAGTTTCAAGAAGATCAGAGAAACTCAAAATTTCAATCCCAAAAAAAAAAAAAAATTTTCGAAATTTTGACTTTCTCTGATTCTGATAGAGGGCCATAACACTCAGACCTGAGTGCAAAAATGGAGGCTCTAGACCCTTCCTGAGCTGAGATATTGCGATCCTACGTAGCATTTATCCCATTATAAACCACTATTTTTATAATGGGATAAATGCTACGCGGGATGTCCATATCTCAGCTCTGGAAGGGTCTAGAGCCTCCATTTTTGCACTCAGGTCTAAGTCTCATGGCCTTCTATCAGAATCCAGAGTTTCCTCAAGATCAGAGAACCTTTTCCTTTTTTGGGGGGTGTCGAAATTTTGAGTTTCTCTGATCTTCTTGAAACTCTGGATTCTGATAGAGGGCCATGAGATTTAGACCTGAGTGCAAAAATGGAGGCTCTAGAGTCTAGACCCTTCATGAGCTGAGATATTGCGATCCCACGTAGCATTTATGCCATTATTAACAACTATTTTTATAATGGGATAAATGCTACACGGGATGTCCATATCTCAGCTCTGGAAGGGTCTAGAGCCATCCGGGGACTCATCCGATGCACACAGGAAATGACTCTAACATGAATTCATTGATTGATTCCTAGGTTTCATTTGTTAAGAATAAACAAATGTGCAATATATAAAGGAAAAACCTTACGATTAAAGTTGTAATGTTATTATGTTCAAGTGTTTGTTCTAAAAAAAGAAAGATGCACACAGAAAATGACTCTAATATGACCAGATTGATTGATTCGAAGATATTTAGTTTGTTACAAACAATGTGCAATCTGTAAAACAAAAACCTCAAAATTATAGTTGAAATGGTATACTGCTGGAATTTTTTTGACCTTGAGGAAAAGCTTAAGTATAGACCCACAAATTTTATGTTTGTTAATTTATTTCATGTTGGTACATTTTTGGGAAGTGTTTTGACCTGATGTCCATTGGATTGGACAAAAAAAATCACAATGAAAGCAATTATATCATTTTTTTTCATTTGTTTTCATTTATAGAAGCCTCATGAGCTGGGAAAATGTACTTTTATATTTTTCAGAAACTTGAAACATAATTTAGGTCTGAGGGGGTTAATGCATTAGCGTGTTATTTTCTGGAAGTGTTTGGTCGAGGCTGTGTGAAATGCCTGCCTGTCGCCCTCAATCCATCCGAGTCTCAGCGGGAGTCTTCACTAACGAGCAGGGCTTGAGTCCGGACCGGTCCAGTCCAGCACGCCGCTGGAGGACCTCTGGGGAGATTTACCACAGGTCATGCCCGTCTTAATGCAATAACAACGCCAAACAGTTTAGGGGGAGGCCGGGGCTTGTTGTCACACTAGTGAATATTCCTGTGTTTCTGAAGTTAATTTTGCTTATAGAAAATGTGAGTCATGCCACAATAGGAGCTGATGTATGAAGTAATGATGAATATGAAGTTGCCAAAAGTTCTTTCACAAAAAATATCCCATATAAATTAAAAATATATTGGCTGTTTAAAGGCTTTTAAATTTAATAGTCAAACAATTGTTTCAGTTAATGAAACAGCAAAAACACTAACATTGGTCTGGGCTGTTGTAACGAATTGTGTAACATTTTTTACAAAAACTTTTGATTTAACTTGTTACCTCAGAGAAAAATTTCATTTGAGTACAAATTTCACAACAACAAAAACTTTGTTTGAAATATTAAAATATTTTGTAGGCTGCAGCTTTTGTAACAATGAAACATCAAAAATTGAAATGATAACATTCAAAATATCAAAACGGTAGGTTACTATTACACAGGAGCCTAAACTCTGAAAAAACAATAACGTTAAGCGCACCAGAATAAAATATACTATTCAGAATTAAACAGTGTACCTGACTTACAGATTCAGTTAAATCGCTACTTTTTCAAAAATGAATTGCTACTTTTTCAAAAATGAATCGCTACTTTTTCAAAAAGAATCTCTATTTTTTCAAAAGTGAATCGCTACTTTTTTCAAAAAGAATTGCTACTTTTTCAAAAAAAGTATTGCTACTTTTTTCAAAAGTGAATCGATACTTTTTCCAAAAGAAATCCCTACTTTTGCTAAAATTAATCGATACTTTTTCAAAAGTGAATCGATACATTTTCAGAAAGAATCGCTACTTTTTTTTAAAAGAATTGCTTTTTAAAAAAGAATAATGTAACAAAATATAAATGTAACAAATGTATAATAATGTAACAAATGTATAATAAAACTGTAATAAATGTATAGTTACATTGTAGTAAACGCAAAAACACATTGTAATGTATAATGAGACTGTAACAAATGTATAATTCAATTTTTACACTACTTTTTTCAAAAAGAATCGCTACTTTTTCAAAAGTGAATTGATACTTTTTCAAAAAAGAATCATTACTTTTTCAAAAGTGAATATATACTTTTTTGAAAGTGAATTGATACTTTTTCGAAAGTGAATCGCTACTTCAAAAAGAATAGCTATTTTTTCAAAAGTGAATTGATACTTTCAAAAAAAGAATCGCTACTTTTTTGAAAGTGAATCTATAATTTTTCGAAAGTGAATTGATACTTTTTCGAAAGTGAATCGATACTTTTTCGAAAGTGAATTGCTACTTCAAAAAGAATCGCTACTTTTTCAAAAAGAATAATGTAACAAAATAATAATGTAACAAATGTAAAAAATACTACTAAATTTATAGTTACATTGAAATAAATGTATAATAACACTGTAATGTATAATTACTTTGCAATAAATGTATAATTACATTGTAATAAATATATAATAACAACCTTGAAAAGAATCGCTACATTTCTCTAAAAGAATCAGAATGTTTATTTTTAAACCACAACTTCAATGTTTGCTTTTTACAGATATATTTAACAATATCTTTTGCATTTCTATTCCAAACAATGTCAAACTTGGCACTGCACTTACTCGTGCCCATAGTAAGACACCTGTCAAGTTTGAAATCCATGGGACAAAACCTGATCGTTACTAAGTTAAAGACCATGTGACAACTTGCCCCATTCTTGCCTGCACATTCACACATACTGTATGAAAACTATTGCTGACTTTTTGCAGAGAGGAAATACTGTGTTTGAATGTTATTTGTGTGACTGTATATATTGTATAGTCGTAATGGTAGACGTCTGGAAGTGATGCAGAGATGATTCCTCACCTAAAGTCCCACCTCCTGTCCTTTGGGAGGAGTGTGTTTGACCCGATGCAGGACCTCACGCTCCTGTCAGAACATGAGAAACGACAGAAACACACACTGCTCCACTGGAACATCTTGGGAAATTATGCAGTGAAACATTCAACTCCTCTGAGGCTGAGAAGAAAAGGTAAGTACACATGTAGCTTCATTTAGACATTGTCTTACATAAAAGTTTATAGAACAGAGTCATTAATTTTTACTTATTATACATTTATTGCAATACTGAGTGTATACAATATTGTAAAAAAAATAAATAAATGAAATGTGTTGGAAATCGAATTACAGACTGTGGCAGAAATGCTTGTGAGTTTGTTTCTCATGCGAAATTTCGTGGAAACACAAACACCTGTGCACTTCAGAGTGTTTTCCTGGGATTGGTGCGTTTATACCCACATTTACCTGCCTCTGTGCCTCTGCCTCTTTTAGATGAGCAAGCACTTGTCCCATGGGATCCACAGCAGGATATCAGATACATGTTGATCCTCAACCAAACATAAATACAATAACATGTCATATTATTTCAAAAGTATTGGATACTGTTTTAAAGAATTATTATGACTTATTTAAAATGTATTGCATTTTTTTGGCCTATAATGAATGCTTATAATACAAATAAATTGGTTGAAATGGCATGAAACTCATTCAGATATGTTCGTTCGTATATATATATATATATTCACACATATGAATGAGCTTGAGCTGTTTAATAATAATAATATAATACTGAATCTGTTAAGTATGACATTATTTTAAAATCTATCCTTGCTTTCTTTATTTTTTGTAATGCATTTAAAATTGTGTATCATATAAAAACCTTTTTACAAAATTGAAGAGTCTTTAACTATAACATTAAAACAAATCATTTGATACAATGCTTTATTGTGTACTTACATGTTTTTACATTGTAGCTACTTATATTTGAATAACACCTGCATGTAATTAAACCTTGAGTAAGTACATCGGTGGTTACACTGCTGAACAGGGTTGCCAGGTTTGCATAAATATTAACACCCGAATATAAATGTATCTTGACTTTCCTGACATTAATCTTATCTTTAAGCCTATAGTTGTTCTCCAGTACTCTCTGTGACACACTGAGTTTGAGGGATGACGGTCACTTACACCGCCAGGGTGGCGAATGCGCGCTTCTGCGGCTTCTCTAAACTACTGCTGGCCTGGAGGGGAAGCATCTATAAAGTCCTGTACAAAGAGTTGTTGTTTTTTTTCGCCATGTACACTGCAATCAGCATCACATACAGGTGTGTGTGTGTGTGTGTCCTCATCTGATGCTTTGATCGAGTCACATTTTATCTACATCAATTTCTTTACCAGATTCTTCCTTGTGGACGATCAGAAGAGATACTTTGAAAAGCTTTCCATTTACTGCAACAACTACGCCAGTCTCATCCCGATGTCTTTCGTATTAGGTACGCTCGTCCTGGGACAGCATAACCACTAAATTCAGTCAGTAATATACACTGCCGATCAAAACTTTGAGAATCTTTTGCAACATTGTAAAGCCTTTACTGTCACTTTTGATCATTTTAATGCATCATTGCTGAATAAGTGTAAATTTCTTCCAAAATAGCCTAATTTTACTGAAATCACAGAATTCATCAGTGATGTTTATGATGTTGTTGATGTTGTTTTCCCAACAAACTATGAGGATGATGTAGATGATGAACAATCGATATTTTTTCAAAAAGAATTGTTACTTTTTTCAAAAAGAATCGCTACTTTTTAAAAAAGAATCGCTGTTTAAAAAAAAAAAATGTAACAAAATAAAAATTTAACAAATGTATAATTATAATGTACCAAATGTGCAGTATCACTGTAATAAATGTATAATTATATTGTAATAAATGCAAAAATACATTGTAATATATAATGAGACTGTAACAAATAATTCAATTTTTACACTACTTTTTTTTTTAAAAGAATCGCTACTTTTCCAAAAGAAATCCCTACTTTTTCAAAAAAGAATCGCTACTTTTCCAAAAGTGAATCGCTACATTTCAAAAAAATAATCGCTACTTTTTCAAAAGTGAATCGATAATTTTTCAAAAAAGAATATCTACTTTTCCAAAAGTGAATCGCTTCTTTTCAAAAAAAATAATCGCTACTTTTTCAAAAGTAAATAGATACTTTTTCAAAAAAGAATCGCTACTTTTTCAAAAGTGAATCGATACTTAAAAAAAAAGGATCTATACTTTTTAAAAAAAGAATCTATACTTTTTCGAAAGTGAATCGCTACTTTTTAAAAAAAGAATCACTACTTTTTAAAAAAAGAATCGCTACTTTTTCGAAAGTGAATCTATACTTTTTCGAAAGTGAATCGATACTGTTTCAAAAGTGAATTGCTACTTTTTCAAAAAGAATCGCTACTTTAAAAAAAGAATAATGTAAATAAAAATAATAATGTAACAAATGTCTAATAATAATGATGTAACAAATGTATAATAACACTGTAATAAATGTATAATAATTACATTGTAATAAACGCAAAAATACATTGTATGTATAATGAGACAGTAACAAATGTATAATTAAATATTTACACTACTTTTTCCAAAAAGAATCGCTGTTTTTCCAAAAAGAATCGCTACTTTTTTCATAAAGAATCGCTGCTTTTTTTCAAAAAACATTTCATATTATTGTTTATGATGTCGTTGATGTTGTTTTCCCAACAAACAAAAAATATTAGGATGATGCCAACAAGTTAAAGGGATTTTAGCAGATGACAAACAAACAAAAAACTTTTTATACCACACGCAGGGTTTTACGTGACATTAATAGTGAATCGCTGGTGGAGTCAGTACACCTCCATCCCGTTGCCGGACAGGATCATGTGCACGCTCTCTGGGGGCGTTCAGGGCGGGGACGAGCACGGCCGGCTTCTGAGACGCACGCTGATGCGCTACACCAGTCTGTCCGCGCTCCTGATCCTGCGCTCCGTCAGCACTGCCGTGTTCAAGAGATTCCCCACTATGGATCACGTAGTTGAAGCAGGTAACATGAGTTTACAACACTGTAGAGACCAAGACAGCATTTTACACCTTCACACCAGGTGGCGCAACCCACCATTATTCAGCTGATCGGCCTATTGTCTTTGACCACTGAGAAGAACTAGGGGTACCGTTTAAGAAGAACTTAAATGGTTAAGAAGCCCAGAAAAAGATATTAAACAAGAATTTAAACTCACCATTGATTGATTCCGATTTTCTCAGCTATTTCTAAATTACCACAGAATGTTTTTGTAGTCGCTGTGACTTTTATCAAAAACACACCAATGATAACAAGTACTGTGTTTGAAATCGCCTCCTATCCACAAGTTTCCGAGGAGCGCTCCTGTAAAAAATAATTATACACAGTGCACCCACATATATTATGTAAACACAAACTTTTATTTGGATGCGATTAATCGCGATTAATCATTTGACAGCCCTATAGTCAGAATTATGAAAATGGCAGAATTGCTTGTTTCTGCCACAGAATAAAAAATAAAAAAGGTGATTGTCACTTTTTATCTAGCAATTATTTACTTATTACTTAATAACTACTTAATAACACGCAATCGCAAGTTTATATCACACAATTTGGAGAAAAAAAATAGTCAGAATTGCAAGATGTAAACTCGCAATTGTAAGATAAAAAGTCACACTTTGCGTTTAAATGGTTTTGCTCTGTGGCAGAAACAAGCTTACATAGAATTGTAAGTTAATATCTCACACACCAAAAAAAAAAAAAAAAAAAAAAAAAAACATATTTCAGAATTAACTCAAAATTGCCAGGTAAAAATTCGGAATTAAATCAGAATTGTGCATTATAAACTTGCATTTCTGAGAGAAAAAAAAATTGATTTCAGGGGGAAAAAAGACCAGAATTTCAAGACAGTAAAACTGCCAGATATAAACTTGGAATTGTGGGAAATAGTCAAAATTGTGAGTTTAAAAAAAATCTTAATTACCATTTTTTTTTTCTCCTATTTTCAGAAACTGACCTCCATAGACACCTGACACTGAATAACATCTGTCTGTTTCTAGGTTTCATGACAAGAGAAGAGCGTAAGAAGTTTGAGAGTTTACAGTCTCCCTATAATAAGTACTGGGTCCCGTGTGTGTGGTTCACTAACCTGGCCGCGGTCGCCCGCTGTGACGGCAGAATCAAAGACGACAACACTTATAAACTTCTACTGGAGGTGACTACATCTTTGCAGGTTTTACATGACAGTATTGACCAGAGTAAGAACATTCAATTCGAAAGATTCTATGCCTATAGTGTAAAAGCACATGTTTGAAAGGATAAATCTGTTTTTCTTCAATGTTGTTTTTGTAGGAGCTGAACAACTTCAGAGGGAAGTGCAGCATGCTTTTCCACTATGACATGATCAGCATACCATTGGTCTACACACAGGTCAGGTACATGCTTAAAGGGACAGTTCACCCAAAAATGAAAATGATGTCATTAATGACTCACCCTCATGTCGTCCCAAGCCCGTAAGACCTCCGTTCATCTTTAGAACACAGTTTAAGATATTTCAGATTTAGTCCGAGAGCTTTCTGTTCCTCCATTGGAAATGTATGAATGGTATACTGTCCTTGTCCAGAAAGGAAATAAAGACATCATTAAAGTAGTCCATGTGACATCAGTGGGTTAGTTTTGGTCCAAAAATAACAAAAACTACGACTTTACTCAGCATTGTATTGTCTTCCGGTTCTGTTGTTTGTTTGTTATGAAGATTACGGGCTTGGGACGACATGAGGCTGAGTCATTAATTTTAAAAACACCATTTTCATTTTTGGGTGAACTGTCCCTTTAAGATGAGAGCGACTCAAACGGTTTTCATGGCATGTGATGGACTAACTGATATTTTTTGCCATCGCAGGTTGTTAGTCTGGCAGTTTACAGTTTCTTCCTGGTGTGTCTGATTGGTCGTCAGTTTCTGGACCCGGGTCAGGGTTACCCGGGTCACGACCTTGACCTTTACGTCCCCATCTTTACCCTTCTGCAGTTCTTTTTCTATGCTGGCTGGTTGAAGGTCAAGAAATCTGAATCACTAATATAATTGAAATATAAATTAGATGCCCCTCCCCTTTCACATATAACCCCGCCCATAAGTGTAACCCAGTATCATGACTAATTTAATCAACACTAGCCATTACTATTTGTGTGTGTGTCATCATAATTATCTCTCAGGTGGCAGAGCAGCTCATAAATCCGTTTGGAGAGGATGATGATGACTTTGAGTCCAACTGGTTGATTGATAGAAACTTCCAGGTGCCACTTGCTGTTTACAATACATCAAATTATATATTCGGTTTGTCCTTCATTCGTTTCACACTGTCACTATTGAGATATTCTGTGTGTGTGTGTTTAAAAGGTGTCTATGATGGCGGTGGATGAGATGTATGGAGATTTGCCCGTGATGGAGCGAGATCGATACTGGAATGATTCGAATCCTCGTCCGCCGTACACAGCCGCGACGCTCTTCGTGCTGCGCAAACCCTCTTTCCAAGGCTCCACCTTCGACATGGCGTCAGTGCTCACCAAACACAGATATACACTCATCTGTTCAGGCCAGACACCTCATCACGACTGCAAACTATAGCCCCTTTCACACATAGGGCCCTATCTCGCACCCGGCGCAAATAGGACAAACTGCAAATAGTTAAAATAGTACTGCGCCATGAAACAAGCGCACCTCGTTCATCATGCTCTTAAAGGGAATGTGATATGACGCTCTTATTGGTTTATTTCCGTTACGCCCAAACTAGGGATGGGACGGTATGAAAATTTAATATCACGATTATAGTGTCCACAATTATCGCGATTATCAATATTATCACGGTTTTCTTAAATTTAGATATGAAGTGTTCAAAATATATAGTGTAAAAATATAAAATATAAATATAAAGTGTTCAAAAAGAACTGATGCTCACACTGAAAACATTTCAACAAGTTTTATGAATGAAAATCAACAAACAACAAATAAACAAGCAGCTCTATGCAGTTTTTTTAAGCAAGATTCTATTCTATGGCATTTCCTTCTTTATAATGCCCGTCGTTAATAGCAACGCATTATTACACACACCGCGCACATCAATATCACAACAGACACACGTTCGTTTAATTCAAAAACAACTTGCCGGCCGTCTTGCATCTCCAGTTTTTGATTGTTTTGAAAATGAAATCAGAGTTGATTTATTGTTTACAGAGTTTGATAATATTGGTGTGATCATCTTGTCTGGACGATTGTTTTACTAAATGAATTTATATACGGGTAAGATTTAAAACATTAGCTGAACTCATTATCAAGTCAATATGTCCCCGTAATTATGTGGTAAAAATAAAATCGGTGTAATACGTTATGTATCTATACATTGCTATCCCTTAAAACGTCACTCTTAATAATAGTCTTATTTGAAGATGTCCGTTCGTCGGCTCAAAGACACTTGCTGCAAAATTTTCTTTGCGGAAGCTTCACTTCTATTTCAAGTGAGTGACATAAAATGTTTAAACTCAAAACAACATTTCGTGCCCAATTGTTTCCCAGACCTAGTTTTGGTATTGAAGTCAAAGTTAACTTGCCTTGTGTTCGCTATACAACAGCGGGTGATGGTTACACAAGAAGACGACTCGGCAGATTTTAAGTGTTTCTTTTGGACAGTGACTTTTTGTTCTGCAGACAGGGTGACTATCCTCGATCAAGTTTCCCTCAGGACTTTTGTAAAAGCCTAACTATGACCACACTCCAGATTTGGTCCTCTTAAAAGGCTGAATCTCCCAAGCACAGTCACTGCCTTCCGCCATTCCTTCTCGAATAGTAAACATTGCGTGCAGCGCGCGGCTGCGTCAGACTGGCCGACAGGATTTACAGTGAGTTATTAATCAAACACGGTTTTAATGATAATTACATTTTAAACGATAATACTAACCGTCAGTATATTTTATCGTGGTTTATCGCGAAACCGGTTATCGTCCCATCCCTAGCCCAAACCACACCCATGAATAATGAAGCTATTTCAGACCAACCCCTTTTAAACTTGTGGCAGGCACAAGAGTCATTTATCCCGCCGGTAAAATAGCAACAGTGCCCAAGACCCGCCGCCCACGAAGTTACTTACTGGATTCGTGGTTGATACTTGGATTTCAGATCGTTAAAATAGGACCCATACAGTCTTTACTGGTAAATTACTGGAGGTTAAGAGATCAGGATCTGTGTGTGAACAAGACCGGTAGATCATTTCTGGCAATTTACCAGTAAGGGAAGCTGTAACATTACCAGTAAATTATTGGTATGATGCTGTCGGGATGCGCTTTTCAAGTAGACGTCAAAAAACGTTGTTTAATTGAACAGATACTGAAACTATAAGCGCTTCTCCTCATGCGGGCAGATAAAGACAACGGCATTTAAAGATCATTTCCGATGATTGACATCACACAATTTAACGGTATTTTGGTGCTGATGTGTGAAAAGCCAGAACGATGTTGCTTGTGTGAAATCGTGTGTATTTACCAGTAAAGTCATTCTATTCATTTTACGGTAATTTACCGGGATTGCTGTGTGAAAATAAAATGGTAATGCTTCCTTTTACAGTCCTTTTACATACATACTATGTACTTATTATAATAATTACAATTACTGGGTAATAACTAGGTACTAACCCTGAACCTAAACCATGTACTTACCTTATATTAGCCAGTACTTTCTAGGTAAGTACACTGTAAGTACTGTAAAAGGAGGCATTACTAACAAAACATGGTGGATTACAGTCAATAAATAGCTGCTACTCATTTAACTATTATTTTTAAAGTAATAGTTTGCAAAGAAAATATTTATTTAATGCCGGTTTATATATTTATGGTACATTTTTGGTTGAATTATTTAAAAAAATATACTTTTATTCAGCAAGGATGCATTAAATTGATAGAAAGTGAAAAAACATTTATTTTGATGTTTCTGTTCATCAAAGAATCATGAAAAAATAAGCATAACAACTGTTTTCAACATTGATAATAATCCTGAATATTTTTTGAGGAGCAAATAATCGTTAGAATGATTTCTGAAATATCATGTGACACTGAAGATTTAGAGTAACGATCACAGGAATAAATTACATTTATTTAAATACAAAATATTTTAAATTACTAATATTCCACACAGTTTTTAATTTATTTTTAGATAAATAAATGCAGCCTTGGTTTAGCAGAAGAGACTTCTTTCAAAAACACATTAACAAAATGCTGGGTTGTTTCAACCCAAATTTGGGTCAAATATGGACAAACCCAAATGTTGGGTTAAAATGTAATTTAAAAAATTGGAATTGAAGTTGGGTTCATTTTAAATTAAATTTTTAACCCAAAATTTGGGTCGAAACAACCCAGCATTGTTTAGAGTGTATTAAAAATATTATCAACTCCAAACTTGACGATGAAAATATTTGTTTGAATTATTTTGTTGAAAATATTGTTGAAATAAATAGATCTGAACATTTCAAATCCCCCAGAATTCCTAAAGAGGAGATGCATTTCCAGCCTCTGAAGGAGATCTCCGAGAACCTGGAGGAATCCATGACGAGGACGCACAACCTCGCCCTCTTCAACCGGCTCCTCGGCTCCCCGTCTCCCTCGGGCTTCATGAGCGGAGCCTTACGCCGCACCTCCACCCAGCTGCACCGCCTGACCCGCTCCGTCAGCCCCGACCCCTCCTTCTCCGACGCCGAGGATGAGGAAGAGGAGAGGAGTGTGGGAACGGCCGGCTCTGTCCCGTCTGGACTCGGGTTGGACACCACAGAGAGCACCATCTGCAGCTTCGAGGGATCCATCAGCACCTGTCCTCCGCCCTCAGGTGTGGAGTTCCTCCAGCGAGATGGACGAGGTGAAGAGAAAAAGGAGACGATGCTGGAGAAAGACTCACTAGTGCCGAAAATCCAGCCCCCCACAGTTCAGGCGGGTCGTAAGAGTCCTCTCGCTATGGGACGAGTCGATTCTCATTTCTGCTCCTCAAACACCACCAACCGCTCCGTACCCGACTTGTACTCTTTCCAGCCAATCCGTGACCCGGCAAAGGTCATGACTCCAAAACCCAATCCACCCAATAGCAAAGCAGAAGCAGTGTCTTTACTGACCGTCCCGTCGCTTGAAGTCTCGGCATTTCCGGTGAATTCAGAAAGAGAGCAGATGCTATAAAGGCTACCAAAGTTAATGGCTGTGTCCGAAATCTCCACTCAAACCACTACTCACTACATAGAGCACTATATAGTGAGCTCACCAGCATAATAGAAACACTATTTCGTCATTGATTAATCATAATTGATTACGTCATTGCTGTCGCCCGTCCGCCATTTTTACGATCAGCGCAACGCATGATGGTATGTAGGGATTGGGTTAGTGACTATCGGTTGTACACTACTTTTCAAAATGCATTCTGGGATACATTGAGTGGACTATATAGGGTATAAAAATATAGTCCACTATATAGTGAGTAGTGGGAGATTTCGGACACAGCCAATGTGTGAGTGTAGGGTCAGAGGTCACAGGGTCGAGTTGTAAGGTCAAGGAGACACCAAATATTTGAGCAACATGATCGCTTTCATGCTATATGCAACCAGAAGGTTTGGATGCACTTGTATGTAATTTGTTGAATTATAATACTTGGCAGATTATTTGTATTTTTAAACTTTATCTTTTAGATTCTTCTGAAAGCGAATGCTATGACGAATAATCATGTGACAGAACAATGATAATCAGCACTGAAACTGATCTAGTTTTTCAAAATAGAGTGAATGTCTACATAAAATAGCAACTTTTTTTCTGTTTTGAATGTATGACAATAATTTGAAAGAATCTCTCTTATGCATATGAATAATGGCGTTATTAGGCTTGATGTTCATATGAACTTTTTGGAAATAATCCTTATGAGTATTGCTGCATTGTAAGACTGGTGGTGCTTATATATATTAAAATAAAGTGCAAATCTGAGTATTTCACAATCTGCTCAGTTACTGGGATTTTCATGCACAACCATTTCTAGGGTTTACAAAGAATGGTGTGAAAAGGGAAAAACATCCAGTATATGTAGCATATGTTGATGCTTGAGGTCAGAGGAGAATGGGCCGACTGATTCAAGCTGATAGAAGAGCAACTTTGACTGAAATAACCACTCGTTACAACCGAGGTATGCAGCAAAGCATTTGTGAAGCCACAACCTTGAGGCGGATGGGCTACAACAGCAGAAGACCCCACCGGGTACCACTCATCTCCACTACAAATAGGAAAAAGAGGCGACAATTTGCAAGAGCTCACCAAAATTGGACAGTTGAAGACTGGAAAAATGTTCTGATGAGTCTCGATTTCTGTTGAGACATTCAGAAGGTAGAGTCAGAATTTGAACATGGATCCATCATGCCTTGTTCCCACTGTGCAGGCTGGTGGTGGTGGTGTAATGGGGTGCGGGATGTTTTCTTGGCACACTTTAGGCCCCTTAGTGCCAATTGGACATCGTTTAAATGCCACGGAAAAAGAAAAAAAATGGACAAGGCAAAATATTCAGTGGACTTTTAATGGTCTTAACCTTTTTAATCACAAATCGCTGGTCAGGAAATGCGCAAGAATTGCACAATACTGTAGATAAGGTAAGTTGGCACAGAATAGCTTTCTTTAACTTGCAGACAGCTTTTCACAGGAAGAGGAGTCAGTGTTGTTTCACTCAAGGCTGATGAAAGTACATGAGCAGTTGAGAAATGTATCTCAGTTCGTTTGAGTTTAACGTGAGACCAAATATTTAGTAGGGTTCAAATCTAGACAAAACATCATTCTCAAGACACTTGGTTGTCTTTGCAGTTTGCAGCATTGACTTCTTAAAAAAATGTCACAATGACATCTTTCTCCCTGTTTCACTTGCGGTAGAGATACAGTAATTATTATATTTCTCAGCAGATTTTTGAACTTTCCATATTGTTTTTTAGTCTCTGATGTTTTTGTGAGACAGCAATGGCTTTTTAAACAGTACATTTGCTTAAATTTTGCAATTTTTTTGAGCGCGTGTGAGTGTCATTATATAGACACACACAATTATTAACTTTTCGTAACCTATTTTAAACCATTTGTGTGACTTTAGTTAACCTTCCTGACCTAAGCATGACCCTTTACTGACTAGCATCCAGGTTTAGCCACAGGATCAAGAGATTAGTAATTTCGGGGTCTCGTTTAGTGTCCACGGCGAAGCAAATTTATTGCATTCAAGGCAAATATAATCTGAGTTGAAACAAGTAACAAAGTTTGAATATCATATTGACTAGATATTTCCAGAGCAGTCCTAAAATATTTAAGTAAAACATAACCTTGCATCCATTAAAATAATCCATAAACATTTCAAAGCTACTTCACAATGCTTTTTTGACGGACGAATGCTTTTTTTCTGAGCATGATGTAAACAGACACGGGTGTAGTTTGAAACGGTTGAAACTTTGGCATGTGAATTTCTAAATCCTGCTCTGCAGTATCATGCAGTATTTCCCCAGATTTTCTCATCACAGTTCAGTGTATTAGCAGCCACACGTCCCGCATTTCATTCAATCCCTGAGGGGCCTGTTCATGTAACTGAAGTGTTGATTATTCATTTTAAAGGGCTTATGCTGGATTCTTATTTGTTGGTTGGCATTTCATACTATATAATGGCTTGAAAGAGTTTTTCTTCTGGTGCACGTGTGAGTAAGAGAGAGAGAGAGAGGGAGTGTGTGCATGTGTGTGTAAATGTTTGCCTTCAAGTATGAGTGTTTGTTGAGAGAGGATCATTAACATCCACAGCTGCTCTGTCCATCAGGGGGCGTGTCTTGCAGAATTGGGCCTTTGTGATTGGTTAATATGCTGGGGTCTCCGTCCAAGCTCTCGTTCATTTTGTCGCAGATGATGTCGACAAGCCGCTCAAACACCTGCTTGACGTTAATGTTATCCTTTGCACTCGCCTCGAAAAACTGGAAGCCTGCAGAGAAACAGAAGAGACAGCAGCTCGAGTTATACACAAAATACGAAATAAAATCAGATTTCAATAAAACTGCATGGTTTATTAATCTAATTCTACACATATAATTAGTGGCCAGCTGATATTTGGCATTAAGTTTTCTGTTTGGCCGTGGGACTTTTATTTTGAAAGACGCACAGGAGCTTCCAATTCTCCATCTTTATTAGCCGTTTGTTTAGTCACCATTAAATCAAAATTAACTATTCTTATTTTTTCATGAAATACTGTAGAAAAATTCAGTTTCATACCGACTTCACCAGTTAAAATAAACGAAACGCAAATGCTATAATATTTTTTTTACCCCATATAGTGAGAGATATAAGCTTTTATATGAATTTTTGACATATCTAATAAACAATATGCCAACAAACCTCACAAACATCTGCAAATCCAGCTGTTAGTTCTTCTAGTGATACAAAGTCAATGTTTATATATGAAGTATAATGTGTTTATTGCATGTATATATATATTAGAGCCCGACCGATAAAGGATTTAAGGCCGATACCGATACAAATATTTGTTGGTTTCAAAATCCGATATTCCGATATATCGGCCGATATTATTATTATTTTTTTATTTCAGAAACGAGCAACAAAATATTATCAGATTTCCCTAACATTAATTATTTGTAGTTAATAATGAGTTTTAACTAAAATAATATGATAATGCATAACTGGTTCTGTCTGCCTGACTCTGGCTGGATCAGCAGGTTGTAGGATGTGTGGCGCGTTATACACGAGTGTTGCCAACAGGGACGGTGTAGAGTGTATTCATTTATCGGCCATTATACCGATACCGATATTTTAGAAAATGCCTAATATCGGCCGATAATATCGGCCTGCCGATATATCGGTCTGGCTCTAATATATATATATATATATATATATACATACACACCGGCCTTTGCTGTTTGGATTTAAATACAAATGTTTAAGAGTCAATGTTTGGATCATTATTGCAGTGATAATTATTTTTAGCATGTTATATGTTTGGCAACAGTTCTTCGAACTCTAATTGATGGAGTGTATGTACCTCATAATATCACAACAATCATTTCAATCAAGAGATGCATACATTTGGTCAAGATCTTGTCTTGACAATGCAAGAGTCCAGCACTCTGTAAAGTCTCCTCCAGCACATCCTGAGGACTTTCAACGAATTTAAGATCTGGACTGAACCGACTGATCAGAGCCTGTTGAATCTTGACATTGTCATCCTGGAATATGAACATAATGTGTCTTCCTACATGCTTGTTTAAGAAATGAAAAGCTTCACACTCTCCATCAATTAGGGTTAGAAAACTGTTGGTAAACATAAACCATGCTAGAAACATAAAAATGACTGCAGTTATGAACCAATCGTGCATATGTGTGTGTATGTGTGTTTTATATCCTCCATCAAATCTATCATAGTCATAATGTCATAACTCATTATATCTAACATCTATTGAGCAATAAATGTCAGCATACACCCTCTGAGCAACACTTTGAAAGGCCTGCATCATTCATAGCATTTCTTCCTGTCTTTTCTTCGGTCCAAATAAGGCTGTGCAGCACAGAGGCGATTCAGGGGGTGACGTGCCCTGCACAGGGTCCAAAATTAACACTCGCCAAACCCCCGAAGGAGAACTTGGCTTTAAAATGGTTCGTCTTCAAAGCGTTAACATTTCATTCCAAATTTGTATTTTTTTTTTTATGAGAAAAAAAATATGTATTTTGAAGAATATCCATGCAACTAAATGTCATACAATAGAAGTGCATGGGGACTGGGACTACAAAAGGACAAGAAAGGTACGTATTTTAAAAGCAGCATTTACAGCTATATAAAAAATAATGTATAATGGTTAGAAGTTAGAAATTGTTTTCCAGCCAGTAAAATTCATGCACCATTTGGGAGGGGATTGCAAACAAAACATAATTGACCTAATCGGTAAGCCCCGCCCCTTTTAGTTACTGTTACTATCTCGGACAAACGAATCTTATCATACTTTTAAGCGCTCTGGCGAACACACGCACAGTACAATACATGAATACCCATCCTCTCAGGATATCTGGAATCAGTGTTACAAGTACCCTAGGCACATAGTTTTACCATTTTTGTAGCATAAACACCATAAAACCGATGAGAGCTTTGGATGTTTCTCTATGGCCCTGGCCCCTTCCAACTGATACTCAACTGTCATTGGCTCATCTGCATTTGAGGGGAGGGGCTTACCGATTCTAGACCCTTGCATGCTCAAGTCTTTATTTACAGGCTCGTATGTGTGTGTCTAATGCTTTCTTTTGTCCAGTAACTTGCCTAGCTCATTAGCCAGTCTTTCCCCGTCCTCTCTGGCCACCAGCCTGTCGTCCTCCAGATCACATTTGTTCCCCACCAGAATCACCTGAGCGTTGTCCCACGAGTACGTTTTAATCTGAGTTGCCCTGAAACACACACACACTTATAAAATGTCTGGCACATTTCAATCACTCTCACTTTGAGTTACTACCTAGAAGATTGGTATTAAATAAAATAATTAGTATTACTCTGGGACCTTAGCATCGTGTAAGACTTTAAATAAAGTAAACTCACCAGTCCTGCACGGCGTAGAAGGAGTCTAGGTTAGTGATGTCATACATTAGCAGGAAGCCCATGGCCCCTCTGTAATACGCTGTGGTTATGGTTCGGTATCTCTCCTGCCCTGCTGTGTCCTGAGAAACAACACACAAGCACCCTAAATATAGCCATTAAACACATGTTCTACACAAAAACACTGAATAGCTGAAGCCATGTGTATTGCAGACACCATCCATTGCTTTATATGTTTTGAGTCTGTCAACCTTACGAGTTAATTTTTCCTCCATGGTTGGTTGCTGTTATTTCTCGCTAGAAGAATGTAATATTTCAGTAGAGTGCTGAAAGACTTAATAAATAGGATATTTCACCATTAATTATGTGCAACTACATTTTTAAGGCATAAGCCATTTAGACACACACACACACACATATTATACATATATATATATTAGGGCTGTGAAACGATTAATCGCATCCAAAATAAAAGTTTGTGTTTACATAATATATGTGGGTGCACTATAATTATTGTGTATACATATAAATATGCATATACGTGCATGTATATTTAAGAAAAAAATATATATATACATAAAATATTTATATTTATATATAATATAAATTATATATAAATAATTTACACACAAATTTTTATCTTGGATGCGATTAATCACGATTAATCACATCCAAAATAAAAATTGGATATATTTATATATTTATAATAAAACACTTATATAAAGAATTTTGAGTGATGAAGCAAATTATGTGTTTAATAATAGTTAATAGTAAGGAGGGATCACAACTACTCGAATTACAGCTTTAGTAAACTTAATGGGCAAATGAAAAGTGCCTTAAAATCACAGCGATATTGAAAATGTTAGATAACTTTATATTGGCAGCAAAGCTTACTTTTATGATGGATGGATGTGCTTTTTAGGGATTCAAAATCTCAGTTACTCACTCCCATTATAAAGCTTGAAAGAGCCCAGATATTTGTTTAATATAACTCTGATTGTGTTTATCTGAGAAAAGATAGTCATATACACTTATGATGGCTTGAGGGTGTGTCAATTATGGGATAACTTTCATTTTTGGGTGAACTACCCCATTAATGCAAACATATCTTAAATATTTGATCATTTCTGTTAATGCATGTCTAAGTGCAAGTAAAAAAAAAAGAAACTTAATTATTCAAGTAAATGCAATGCAAATGAAACAGACTCAGGGGGGTTTAGAGGTTAACAGCCATGTTAATCTGGTAACTAGGCAACGTTTGATTAGTTTCCATGATACTGAAAAGCCTTGACTTGATTTAGAATGCTGTGACCTCACCTATGTAGGTTCCCATGGTAACTCTTGGTTTGGGCAGCTGTTAAAGGGCTGTATATATGTATTGTACTTTATGGGAAGAACTGAGCTCAACTAATGGAAGCTTAACAAAAGCCTCAGCCCCTTCTTTCAACAGAGATAAGACGTGCTAGCTACAACACACACACGATGACGACTAACTTTATAACAAAGACAAATGAACCATTTCTGCCTATGCAATCTTACATGCTTCATTCTGATCCGAAAGCAACCTTTAAAGTCAGGAAATGATTTTTCAATGTCCATGACTGTGTCAATACAGCAGAGCACTGTGATGACTAACCCTATGTAATGTGTAATATTTGCTCTTCTTCATAGCGAAATGTCTCAAATTACATTCACCCTTGCCTTTAAATGATGAACTCCTCCTTAAAGTAAACAAGAGAGAGAGAGTACATGCAAATGAGAACACGCACATACTGTGTATACGGTACTTTCAACAAATATATGATACACTTATATTTGTCCCAAGAGTTTATAATAAAAAAAAAAAAAAAAATCACTGAAGGCACAAATCCCCAGTTTTTTTTTTTTTTTTGGTGACTACTATAGAATTTCATGGCAAGCTATTATATAGCACACAATTAACATTGCATGAAAATACGCTTGTTTTTAACCTGTTTGTACTGCATTTTATTTGCTTTTTTATTCTAAACTGTTTTAATTATTCTTATTTCTTTTGATTATTTTAATTTCCTCTGTGTAAAGCACTTGGAATTACCATTGTGTATGAAATATGGTATTAAAATAAAGATTTAGTCCTGTTCAATCCCAGCGGTCTTGACTTGAACTTTAACTGTATCCTGAAGTTCATAAATAAAAAAAAGAATGATTTATTTTGGCCATTAAATGGATAATTTATTTCGGTAATCCACTTTAGACATTCTACTAACTATAAGTAGCTACCTGTCATGTTGTCAACTTTGAGTATTAGTACTGACTGCTTAATATCTCCATATAACACTTTATTTTGATGCCCCCCAATAGACATCTACTGACTATAAGTCAACTTACTAATCCTAAACCAACAGTTCACAAACACTCTAATGAGAGTTAGTTGAGATGTAGTTGTGAAGTTATAGTCTAAATTGTAACTGAAAGTCTACTAAATACATGTATGGAGATACAACAATACAAATACTCACTGCTATAGTAATATAGTCAATATAAGATGACTGATTATTAACTAAACATTTCCAAACACTTAATGTTGCTCCTCCGCACCCACTAAATACACACACACACACACACACACACACACACACACACACATATACACACCACAAGGCTCGGACTGCGCTCTGGGATCTTGGCGACAGAGATGGTCTTTAAACAGGTTTTAATGTAGTGGTTCTCTATAAGAACTGCCGGGGAAAAAGTGCAATGCTAAATGTAAATAATACAATGCACTAACCATATAATCAATATAGTTAATAATTAAAATAAAGGGAGGAGAAAACTATTTAAGGATAACAATCGGAGTAGTTTGTTACACACATTTTATGAATGAGAAATGTAAATAGATTTGGTTTTGGCAGACTAGATCTGCAACCAAAAGTAGTACAAAGACTTTTTTTATAGTAAAATGTGCTATGGCAAGACAAAAGAGAGCCTGCAGCAGATCGAGACAGGTGGTGCTGGGGAGGAGGAGGGGCCAATAAATGTGTGAGTAGATAGTAAGAAGCGATTGATTGGCTGCTGAACTGGCATCGAGACTGTATAAATTCTCAGTTAATCACATTTTTATGCAATGCAATGCAAATGCATTTCAGTAAACTTTTGTACGGTAAATGCTGTTGGTAGCAAATTGGGTCGGCACTTGATATCCAATGTAAAATATGCGTCCTGAAGCAAAACCAGTTGAGAACCTCTGGTCTAATGCATAATAAAAGCAATATGATTCAACAATTGGGACTGTGCCATCAGCTCTGCATCAGGCTTCACATGACATCATTTTCCTCGGCTTTTACAATTTTCACTTGCCGTATTATAAAATATTTAATTAATTCCTGAGGTGGGAGAATATCATCTGACTTGATGGTGGACTCTAACTTGGGCTAGCAAGCAACCCCCTAGCAACTACCTAGAAAATCCTAGCAACCTAGTAACAACTTACCCACAATCCTAGCTAAGTTTTGCACATGTAATGTAAAAATCAAGTTACTACATTACACTCTATTCTAGTGAATTTCAGATCAGAGCTGAGTTGTTCTATTATCAGCAAACAAGTGCATTCTGGGAAAATGCTACTCAACACCTCTTAAACGTTCTCACCCACTTCCTTTCACCAACAGAAAGTACTGTCGCTTCCTCTGTTGAGGACGGCTGTGGCTATGAACTGCCGAACAACAACAATAACATCTAAAATGACTTTCAAAACAAAGGAATTTTTACAAAAAATTTAACTAACAGACTTAAAACACTTATGCAGCCACAAAAACACACACCAGACCATAAAACATTATTTGGCAGCACTGGGCCAACGTCCTGTCTCAGTATTGATTCAGTTAGTGATTCAGTGCAGAAGGCGGATGGATGCGGGTCTGGACGGTCAAAAAGCACAACCAATTTGATTTTATGGCTTTTATTTTGTAAAGGTTCCCTCGAAATGGATTTAGGCCGGTGTGTGTGTCCCACAAATAATGCATCAAATGATGTGGCCATCTGGTTTGGGTTGGTCTGGATGTTTGTAACATTCACACACACTAACCACCTAAATTATCTTGATCAAAGTATTACTAAGTCATACTGACACATGGTTAGTGGATCCTCTTTTCACCACATTTGACTTTGGCAATAACAAGTCTTTCTTTTCTGGATTAAACTGTAAATATTAATAATAACAGATAATAAAGCACTGACATTATTCTTCCAATATACCTGTGCAAGAAACTGAATGCATTTAAACTCTGGCAACTAAAAGCATTGCACCAAAGACATAGTCAGACTAAAGTGCAACAATCGGGTTTCGAAAAAAAAAAAAAAATCCCTAGGCGGATTTATTTTTATCGATAACTTAAAATACCTTTAAAGACAGTCGTACTGTGAGCTATATGTTAATTGATGGTATACATTTTCAACCTATTGTTAAAATAATCATTAGAGCCAGACCGATTTATCGGCAGGCCGATATTATCGGCCGATATTAGGCATTTTCCAAACTATCGGTATCGGCAGTTATAATGCCCGATAAATGAATATTTCATAACGGATTTTAAAACCAACAAATATTTGTATCGGTATCGGCCTTCAAAATCCTTTATCGGGCTCTAATAATCGTGTATAATGGTGGGATTTGCTGGTGAAAACTAAAATACCCATAATTCTGCAGAGAAATGCAATGAGAGAGCACCTCATTGCAGTACACAAGATCCAGGAGGCGGAGTTCAGATATAAGGGGTGGAGATGGGTAGGGTTAGGGGTGGGGTTAGGGGACGGCAATGGGTAGAGTTAAGGAGTGGGGTTAGGGGTTAGGGGACGGGTAGGTTTAGGTATATGTAAGGTGGGAGGAGTTGGATCTGGATCCAAATCCTCCGCTTGGATTTTGTGTTCTGCAGTGAGGAGGACCATCTACCTGTGTTGGCTGTGTTTTTATCGTTTATCAGCTGGATAAAATCGTTCTGAAAGTGATAACTAACTGTTCCGTTATCGTTATATCGAACGCTGCTATTCTTTAATATTGAGAAAATTATTTTTAGAACGATATATTTATAGTTATCGCCCTTGGTGTGAAAGGGCCTTTAGTATCCCAGGTTTTCCTGGCCTAATACATTATACCGTTTCAACTAAAAACTTTTTATGCGTTTTAGCCGTTAATTTCACAACAACGACGTTTTCGGAGCCTGAAAATGCTAACTTTTGAAAACGGGATTCAAAGTGCAAGTTTTTGAAAACGATACCATTGTGGATACCAACTACAAAAACACAAATTTGTCAAAAAAACTGTGAATTACATGATCAGTTTATAGTGTTTCTTTACAAAGTGACATCGCCACCTACTGGCCTTTTTAAGTAACCATAACTCCTATGGGAAAAAGTCTGCCCATAAATGCACTAAAAAGATGGCGATACTAATGCACTCTATTGAAGTCTGGTATACTTCCAAGCTTATTCTGACCAAAAACTGCACACTTAGATAGAGAGAAAAATATCAGATTAACGTTTAAAGCATCCAGCAACAGTCTGTTTTGTTTTTATATGTCATTTAAAGGGGCAGGTACATCTAAAATAGTTCACAATAATATACCATTAAAGAAAAAAACAAATTCAAAATATGCACACCACTTTTTGTCTTGACTTTGAATGAACAAATATAGGCTACACACTCACCCATATCTGCAGTTTGACTCGCTTCTCGTTACGGTAAACCGTTTTGACTTTGAAGTCGATGCCGACCGTGCTGACGAACGCAGAGGTGAAGGAGTCGTCAGCGAAACGGAACAGAAAACTAGTTTTTCCAACACTGCTGTTGCCAATGATGAGGAGCTTGAACATGTAGTCAAAATTCTGATCGGCCACATCCTTTTGCACCTGCGTCTGATTGCGGGTATCGCTGGCTGACGCCATCTAGAGGGGCGGAGGAAAAGTCAAAGAGTCAAAAATCACAGAGACAAGCTTTGTCATCACCAATTTCAATGAAGCTTAATAAATGATAGTTGTCAAACCCTCCAGAAAACCACCTTCATATGTTGGGCCCTGAGAATGCTGTGACACTTTTGCTCAATTACGCTGGCTGTCTTGGTCTTCAAACTCACAACCAAGAAGTGAAGTGACAAAGGAAATAACGAAAAATCACAACGTGAGTCAGGAGGTCTCATGTGCGACTGGATTTATTCCTGTTAAAATCATAGACTAAAAAAAAAATGGACGACCCCCTTCACTCTCTTCCATTGGTTCAGGTCTTTTGTATGTGCTTCTAAAATATAGAGGCGTTTTACTAAAGATACCTTCAAAGACGCGAGCATAACTGATGTCCATTGCATATGCAGGTCGATATCTAAAAGTTTTTTATTTTTCTTCTCACAATATTTAAATCGGGTTAAAATACCAACAATAAAAAAAACTAGCTAGGTTGGCGGATCACCTTAAAATTACAATAGTCACTGTGTCAGATTATGCGATCGTGGGCAAGAAACATGTCAGACAACACATTTCTTACCGACCAATCGTTGTTTGCCGTCGACGTGAGTGATGTCATAGAGAAGACGAAACTAGCCGTTCCTCCCTCTAAATCAGGTCTCCCCAAACCACCAGTTAATGACTATCCTAATTAAGTATGCATGATATTAATTTTAAATCCGCATAGCTTAATATATAATGCGTACAGAAACACATTAGTGCATAATAAATCCAATTGAACATAATTTTTTACACTTGACTATCTGTTAATTAATAAATAATAATAACAGCCTATCAGTGAATAATTGAACATCATTTGCTTGTTTTATTTATAACTGAAATATTTAGACATTCAACCCTTAATTAAACTCAAAATTACATTAAAGATGATTAAGAGTATATGGTGCAAATTTGTGTATATAAACTAAGCTATCTGGCTAATCGCTCATCTGTATGCTATGCTAGTATATAAGCTAACTAACAGAGACATAAATGGCTGTTATAATGTCGTTGAAACAGCATTTATCATAACATGATTTTGGAGGAATTGTAATCAGGTGCTTAAGAAAGTACCTATTAAAAGCAGTTTAAAACAATGGGATTGCTTTTAGGGAGGACCCAAACTACATCTTCCATGTTAGCATAATTATGTGACCTTCTAGCATCAGTTAGCCTACGTCATCCGGGGACTATTTACTGTTTTTCGAATACAATGTATTTGGACATACTACTCTGTTGGCATACTGTTTTTCACATGCTATATAGTATATGATTTCAGATGCAGCAAAACAATGGTTGTACTAGCTTAATGCTAGTTCCAGTACTCACCCAGTGCTGATTTACTCCTGAATTTGGTCATTTATCACAATTTCCACAATACTGTTGGCTAGTTAAAATCAGGGCTAAAATCAGTGTATTATTCTAAAGCTTCATTGATACTCTGACATGCAAGTATTCTTCTTGCACTGTCATCTATCTTTCTCTTTCTTTCTTGCGCATCAGACATGCTGAGTGAGGATCTTTCCTTGCTTCAGAGCCATTACAGCAAAGACCAGCTCAGCACAATTCATTCTGGACAGAAACCAGTGCTTAAAGTGGGAAGCACATAATAAGATAGGGGAAAGAGTTCACCCGAAAATACAGATTCTATCATTATTGTGTAGCTATCCTGTGATACTGGGTGATGATAGTGATTTGAATCACCTGTTATTTTGCTCAGTATTTTTTTTTTGTCCGATTTAGCTTTTATTTAGATTTACATTGACATTTATCATTTAGATTTATTCCTTGTTAGTCATTTTAGTCCTCAGCTTACACATAACACATAGTTAATTTTAAGTTTTTTTTATATTTTTATATTAGGCCTATATCATTTTTATATTTTATTTTAGCTTCATTTCAATTAACAAAAACGGTTTTCAATTTAGTTTTACCTAGTAAGCAACAAACTGGTATTATGACTTAAGAATTTATGTGAGTAACTACTTAAATTTCAGCTTCTGTCACAGAAAACTTTGTTATATCACTTCAGGAGACTTGAATATAAATGAATAAATCCTAAGGATTAGTTTTATAGTATTTTATGGTCTTTTATGGCCCCTTTTGAGCCTGACAGACAGAAACACGTTAACAATTTTTGTTCCACAGCCAAAAACAACACAACACCATAGAGTTTTTGAACATGAGGATTAGTAAATAATGACATGCAGTGAATTGAATTCAGGATGATTTGGATTTTGGACACTTTTTGCCATTGAGATGATTTGGGAAAAGTGTCCCCATCAACTTGAATTCACCCTAAATTATTCCCATAAACACCCATTTCCTTATAATAAGAAAAACGAGTTAACATCCTGCTCAAGCATATGAGAGGTGATCACATTAACACCTGTAACGTTAAATTACCTGAAGAGGGAGTTACCATACCAGGATATGACACACCTTACACACATTATTGAACACAATGCTGTTGTGCCACTGCAATTTGAAATAAAATGTCGTGAAAGCCTTTTCGCGCATGTAGGCTGAGATTAAATGACAAGTTAGATTAGATCTGACACAAACAGCATCATCACACACCCCAAACTATGAAATCTAACGTTACAGATCTGTCAAACACAACATCAGCTAACACACTCAGAAAATATGAATATGGTCATGTCATCAATAACTCAATTCTGCGGTTGAAAATGAAATAGAGATATTTGAATGAATAGAGATATTTGAAACGGTTCCAGTCATGCTCCCATATGGACATCTTCACATATCTCACTACTGTAAACGATTAAAGAAAAATGCATATCCTTCGGGCACAAACATAATATGGTGACTAACCTTATTTGTCTCTTCTTAGAGGTGTTTATTTCACTCTATAAAGTTGATGTTGCGCGTTTGTTTCCTCAGCTGGTTTCGGACATCCAGTTTCACTTTTCCAGCAAAACACACTGGAAATGGTCCACTCACTCACTCGCCTTATTGGGTTTAAAACCGAGTCTTCCCTTCCCTTCAGAGGGGCGTTGCAAAGCCAGAAGCTTGATGTCTGCAGAGACCTGGCTGTCGACCAGTTTTTTTGTTTGTTTGTGCTGATGGCTCGTCGTCGAAAGGGCGATGGCTGTTCCCAGATCAGCTAGTGGCCCTGGCGAGCGTCCAGCTGAACTCACTGAGCAGCCAATCAACAGGTCTGCTGTCAGTCAGACACACTCAGCAATATCATCTGCCACTTACATACGGGTCATTCTGTCAAACGGATGCCCTCAGCAGCCTCAAAAAGTAGGGAAAAAGTAACGGGATCGACAGTTATAACGGTTTATTAACACAAGCTTTGTTATGAATCTACACGATGTAGGCTACGTAAGAAAGACATACATTTACTTTGAAAATAGGAGACTTTATATATATATATATGTCATATCTATATCACATACACATAATAGTAGTGAGGTGTTCTGAAATGAGGAGGTAAAGTCAGTAACACCTCATTGCAGTTTACGAGATCCAGGGGGCGGAGTTGGATCCAGATCCAGTGGGTGGAGATGGGTAGGATTAGGGGTGGGGTTATGGATCGGGGTGGAGATGGGTAGGATTAGGGGTGGGGTTATGGATCAGGGGGCGGAGATGGGTAGGATTAGGGGTGGGGTTAGGGATCAGGGCAGAGATAGGTAGGATTAGGGGTGGGGTTAGGGGTCATAGGGTGGAGATGGGTAGGATTAGGGATCAGGGGGTGGAGATGGTAAGATTAGGGGTGGCGTCATGGATCGACGGCAGAGATGGGTAGGTTTAGATATATGTAAGGTGGGAGGGAAATCCTCTCCCTGGATTTCGTGTTGGTAAAGTCCTCACAGATTTTGTTTTAATAAATCAAATGTAAATTCCTGAAGTTACACTTAATGTTGTCACAATTTCCTAGTTAAAATATTACTTTATATTAGGCAACATAAAAAAACAAAAACAAAAAAATGTAAGTTTTGTATTTTTACATTAACAATGTAATGTTCTTTTTATTAAAACCAGTAAGAGTATCAAACAATATGTGAGCTGTTTGTACTCAATTACAAGCAAACACAAACAGAGTAAATTATTATTTCTTTTAATAAATCCTTCAGTACAGATATTTATTATTTTATGTGATATTCAGATACACACAGTATAGGTACAGAAACAAGCTTATCTAAAATCTCCTAGTCGCAAAAGAGGAACACAAAAGCGAGCGCCATCAGGAATTGAGCAATCTAAAGCATGGCTATAAAACACACTCACAGGTTTCAGCTTGTTTTACACACTAAGGTGTTTATAAGCAGAACTATGGATTATTTGAGCAGATTTTAATTAGGGCACATATCTGAGAAAAAAAATTAAATAAATAATCATATTGAACCAAATATAAAAACTGCTATTTAAAAAAAATTTAAATAAAAAAAAGCATACAACAAGACAGTCAATCAGAAATCACAAAACTAGGTTTCAACTTGGTTTGAGGTTTGTGATTGGCCGGATCGTTGGCCTCCCACAGTCTCAGAAACTCCTGCTGATAGGGCTGCACGAGCGCCGGCTCCTCTGTAATCATGACGTTTTCTTTGTTGCTCTGGACTGCGGTTAGGGTCCAGTTGAGGGAGCCCGTGATCAGTTTCTTGCCATCCACTAATGCAAACTTATGATGCATATGAACAGCTGCGCTCATCTCGTGCCTCACACAGATGCCTGGAACAGAGGTGAAAACAAACAGATGGGAAACTATCAATTAGCTCCAAATCCACTTGCAAATTAACAACAGATGCGATTTATACACATCTGTCAAACCCGCCGTGTGTGAATCATCTAGAGCTCCTTTAATTCTGCACTGATGCGTCAGGCCGTGAGTTTCACAGTCCGCGGTTGCCTGGGTGTGAGAGCTAAAAGAAGTTACAGCAGTGTGTGTGTACTGAAATAACAAAGGTTGAGCCAGACAGAACTTGTGCGAGCTGTACTGTTGTTGTAATCAAGGTATGACTGACAGTTTAATCACTTTGCAGCAGTCATTAATCATTAAAAACATGGAAATATGAGGGAATATGTATTTTTTTTTAGCCTGGGATAGTAATGAAAATTAATAAACTCTAAAAAGGCAGAGACATTTCTGTGGTTGTTGAAATTTTTTAGTAGGGATGGGCAACGATTAATCGTGATTAATCGCATCCAAAATAAAAGTTTGTGTTTACATAATAGTATGTTTGTGTAGTGTGTATAATTAATTTGAATATATAAATTTTAAGAAATATATGCATGTATATATTTTATATATATTTATTCACAATTAATATTATATATAAATATAAATATTTGATATATTAATAATAACAAATTTTTCTTAAATATATACATGCGTGGGTATATTTATATATACAAATTAATTATACACACGACACTACACACACATATATTATGTAAACACAAACTTTTATTTTGAATGCGATTAATCGCGATTAATCGTTGCCCATCCCTATTTTTTAGTAATGTTCAGGACCAAAATAACTCTTTGCCTTGAAAGGCCTGTTCACACCGGGACGAATTTCACGCGAATATCACGCGATATTCGCGGACGTTTAACGCATCATACCTAAACAAAGGGTGCCAATGTGAGTGTGCACACCGATGCGGAAAATGCCACGCGTAAAAACGCCATTTTTTTTAAAAACGCCTCGGATTCGTTTTTTTAGTTTGACGCGCCGCGTCAAAAACTATCCGACCAATGAGATTGCCGCTTTTGCTCACGTGTTTGGAGCTTCTGAAGTTAGATTTAAACACAACTTGGGGGCGCTCAAACTCAAAACGGTCTTGCCCGAGCACACATACGTAACGGAGAAGAAGATCTACGCCAAGTAGTGTCACCGTCTACAGTATATACAAGCTCACGTCAGCACGTCTGTGTATCTGTCAGCAGGAGCAAGTCCATACTTGCAATGCAGCAGCAATAATACACACACACCTGCTTTACGAAGGATGCCGATCTGAGAGCCAGTGATGGTCATGTAGTCTCTGTCCGTAACGACTCGTACGATGACTCCCTGTTTGTGCAGGTGGAGAATCCCTCTACTCAGCTCCATGTGAGAGAAGGAGAACACACACAGGTCCAGTGAGGTACGTGCGGACAGGAGATGCTCGAGGAGCCTGGAGAAGGACGTCTCAATGCCATGCGGGAGGGGACATGCACTGAGGGCCAAAAGAAGCAAGAAAAATGAGTTGTTTTACTCATTATTATACATTTAGATTAGAAAAAGTGGACCAAAGTACCAGGGGAAACGTCTCTGGCGCGTGAACAGGTGCTCGACACAGACATGGGGTGATGGAAAGAACAGAACTTCTTTCAGGGGCCCGCGAGAGACTCTCAGACGCCGCATCAGCCAGTCAAACCACTCCACACCAAGAACGAAAGCTACGGCTCCCAGTCCTAGCACTTTCACCAGCTCTTTAAATGACATCTGAGAATACATAGACAGAGTAAGAACGGATTAGAATAGTAAAGCAGCGTTGGATTACACTTTAGGAACAAACAAAAAGTAATAAAAACTGTACATTCCTCAACCGTTTCATTGCACACAAACAGTTGGGATCATAAACAAGTTCAACCAGCCAGTCATTATTGCAAATCAGGGCCCTCGTCATCAGGGGGGACAGATCCTGCATGGACGGTGCCCACCCACACAAATGTTTACCAATACATATTGAATTATTTCAAATTATTACACTGGAATAATTGTTTGTAATTGGCAAGAGGCAATATTCTGTTTAAGTAAATAATTCATGTCAAAACAATTATTTATGCGAGATTTTGTCATGTTAATTTATGTATTTTAATAGATAGACAGTTATATAAGAAATCTGTTGCCAGTGACAACAATAGTTCATTCAACAAAACTATTAGACCACAGATTGACGTGAGTGACCAATGAGAAGCCAGTATTCCAGAGGATTGTGTAATAATTTGAAGCGTTTATTAATAATTCAATGCTCGTTCTTGCAGATTTATGCTAATCTCCAAAATATAACAATTAAATCTTAAATTTTGTCTGTCATATAATTGCCATAAATTTCCAAAGAATGTACAAAAACGTGTTTCGGTGTTTGAAGCAACGTAATGTCTGAAGCTAACTGCAAACACGGATTATCTTTGACGCTCGTGATCGCGATTCAGAAAAACGACCAAGTTAATATGATAAATAAATTTGTACTTGATAGGATAATTGTCATTTATAAAGATACGAAAAGACATTTATATCACGAAATGTGAGAATGTTTTGATATAATACCTGTTGGAACATGTCTGCCGAGAGCTCAAGTGACACTGACTGAATCCTTAAGCGAATCTCATGCAAGTTCGGTTCTTGTGAGTTGAATCATTTCAATGAATCGGTTGAACACGTTCGCAAAACGGGACCTCTATGAACGGGACTCGCTTCAACTCGGCTCGCGAGGTTCTCGAATAAAACAAGACACTTCTCGAATAAAACAGGCACTTCTTTTTCACATGTTTTCATGTTTTCTACTACATTCTGGATCGAATTGATTGACCGGCGTTGTATTACTTTAATGAATCTTTTTTTTTCAACGCGTTCGTTTTAATAAGTAAAATTGTACTGTTATGAGCAAGCCATTTCACCCCCCAAAATGTCTGTCAAAGACAAACAGGGGGAGGGGGATCGGGTTGTAGGCAATAAACAGCAATATGCTCAAATGTTGTTGTTGTTTTTTTAATTATCATTATTTATTTATTTAACAGGACAGTGCATATTATACACCTGTAAAATGACAGAATTACTTTTCATCTGTTAAAAGTCTAGCTCGTAAATGCCAGTGCGGTGAACATGTGATGTTATTGCGTCACGGCGTAAACGATTCACTGAATCGTGTTTTTATGTGGTTCTTTGAAACGGTAAATTAGTCGGACCTCCCATCACAATTATGGGCAAATTTGTTCCCGCCCCTTGCAGAGAAAGTGTCAGTGGCTGTCCTTACTAATAAAGATTTGTGAAAATATAGACAGTAGTTTGTGACACAACAACTTCACTGATTTTCAGAGTAAAAAATAGAGGACACATATATTTTCTCAAATGTTTATTATCTATAATAAAAGATCTTGTTTTATATTCAAACGGCAGAAGAGGGAAATTTGAGAGTAAGGAAAATTGACAAAAACTACCATATAATAACTATATTTTTTGGAGATGGATGTAGCCTAGCCTCCATTGTAGGCCGACTCTCTGAAGAGCCTTGGAGTAACAGGATGCCATGGTCCAATATCATTCAATGTTATGGTACCATATCAAACACTGTATCATGCATTTGTCAGAAGAACTTTTAAGGATGTCCTTATATAAAACAGTATAGGACTAAGACACCATATTTTTGCATCTGTTAATGAAAATATGAATTAAATATATTTGTTAGTTCTCAGAAAGTAGGCCAAAGATTTCTCTTTAATGCTATTCTATTTCATAAGCATTTTTTGTTCATAAGCAGTTGCCAAGACATCTTTTCACATAAGCAGACAAGCAAGCACAAGTTGAAAAGATCAAAAGTGTATGACATGCTCAAATACTTTCACACTTTCCTCTGAACATTGCATCACTTACTTAATACTTACACAATTGGTGTATATTCTGAACATATATCTGACCAGACATCAGTGTGAATGATTAAACTACTTTTCCTTTAATGATCCTAAAGAATATAAATTAATAACTGATGACAAGGCACCAAATTTAGAGGACAGGGTCTTGTCCTGACCCTACTTCAGAACAATAACACAACCATTTTATACTTTCATTATCTTTGTATCAACATCTTCGTTGTTCAAGACCACATATAGGCACGAACTGATCGTCTTTTGTGTATTTTCAATCGCCATTAACATTTTAAACTTTTTACGATCCAGTATATTCTGAGACTAAAGAGCAATTACATACCATTTTAATTTTGGAACTACGTCTGATCTATAATGAAGCACCAAAACAAGATTGATTTGGAGTTTAGAAGATTTCGTGAGGTAGATGATGCCCTTTAAACTAATCAGAGAGCAGCTTAATTGTTTTTCTAATTAAGTCGAGAAAATGTATCCCTACATCATCCACGTAAAGAAATCATTTAATTTAGTTAAGCTGGTCTGAGATCAGGAGAAAGGCACATTCTCTACCAATGCTGAATACCAAAGTGCATTAATTAAGGAAGTCAATGGCGTTTTGTTCATTCGGCTTGGCGCAGTATTTGCGGTCGTACACTAGACGTGATCCTCCCATCGGAGTTTGGCCGCTCTGAGACGCCATTTTGTTGGTTCCCATCTGCAGAGACACTGTGGTCGAGTCCACCGGGTCTAGATTGACGTTCTTTTCCGTCACTTGTCTTGCCGTACCAAGAGCAAACATTCCAGCCTACAACAGGACACAGGTGTAGGTAATAATATAATAAATATATTGCACTTGCAACAGTTCTGGAATGAACTTTAAAATCCAATGTTGCTTTCTGAATTCCTCCACGTTTTTCAAGAGGTGAATTAATAGTGTGATTAAAGTATTTTACCGCCACCAGCAATACATGTATTTCATTTCGCTGTTATGAGTGTTGGCCATGAACGTAGAGGTCATCTCATAATTACAGTGATTTTGGCCCTCACCATACTGGCGCATTTGTTTGTGCCCATTTGGAGGTTTATAGTGGATCGATCCGCTGGTTTCTCCATGCCTATATTGGGATCATAGAGATGCCGTCTGGTTCCATAGGAGGTCATGCCCTTTTGGCTGGCAAATTGATTGGAGCCCATCTGTGAATCAGATGAGAAATAGCATATTTAGTACCGTTCTAAAATTTGGGGTCTTATCTATCGAAACGATCACTCATATAAAAAATAAATAACAAAGTTTAAGTTTTATAAGCTCAAATGGTCGTCTTGCTCTGTTCTGTGATGCGCGTTCGTGACTCTCCTGTTCGATATCGTTTTAAAAATGAACGAATAATTTTTTCGTGTCATTTGGTTCATTCAACGAACTTGATTTCGCTTGATAAGACCCTTATTCATCATCTGAAATCGTTTAAAGGCCTTTGAACAGTTTGCAGTTTGCACTGAAACTGCCTTTTGGACTTTGAACCGTTTGGTTCCCATTGAAGTGCATTATATGGAGAAAAACCCTGGAATGTTTTCATCAAAAACCTTAATTTATTTTCGACTGAAGACAAAATGACATGGACATCTTGGATGACATGGGGGTGAGTAAATTATCAGCAAAAGTTTTTTTTTTTAAAAGTGAACTACTCCTTTAAGAAATGTTATATATTGATTAGCATATTAAAATTATTTCTGAAGGATCTTGTGACAGCTTTGCCATCACAGAAAAAAATATATATATTGAAATAGAAAACAGCCATTTAAAATTTCACAATAGTTGAAAAGTTGACATTTAGTTACTTTTAGTGGACTATTGAAATAAAGTGTTACCAATTTGTTTATTGTGTCTTACACAGCTGCGGGACTGGGGGCATTCATGTATAATCAAATGCAACTGTAATTCAAATAGTTCATTTACACACTCTTGATATTTGTCTAGTTTAGACAAATTTCCATTTCTATGCAATTGCATGTTACGTTTACGTTACGTCTTTTTTCCAAGTATTTGTCATGTGACCTGTTGGCTGATAATGCTTTCCCCTCCTTTCATCTTGTCAGGATTGAATTTCCTTTGCTTTTTTGCAGCATACTTCACACCGATGTCACTTTTTGTGTAGAAGCCTTTCGTCTTGGCCTGGGAGAAAAGAGAACATGGAAAAAGACAGAAAGGCAGAGAGAGTATTAAATATTTTAGATCGTATTTACAGGTAATTTAAGATGGATTATTTAAGTGTGTCACGGTGAGGAAATATTCACATCAGTAGACCAATTTTAAGGGATAGTTCACTTTGAAATTAATTTTTGGTATGTTTCAGCTTACCTCAAGGGCATCCAAGATGTAGGTGTCTTTGTTTCCACAGTATTTTCAATTTTGATATTTTTAGGTCAAACCGTTCTTGTCTGTCAGTCATATAATGGAGGTCTATGGTCACCACCTCAAAGAGCATGCACAGAGAAGTCCAAATTAAACATGATTTAATGACTCGTAATTGTAAGTACACATTGATGGCCTAAGACACGAAACGAGCGGTTTGTGTGAGAAAACGAACAGTATTTATATCGTTTTACCTCATGTAACCAGAGCCACATATATGAAAAACACCAAAAAACTTTTATAACATTTTTGATTTGTGGTTACAAGAGGTAAAAACGATATAAATACTATTTGTTTTCTCACACAAACCGCTCGTTTCGTGTCTTAGGCCATTTACGAGTCATTAAATCATGTTTAATTTGGACTTCTCTGTGCATGCTCTTTGAGGTGGTGACCATAGACCTCCATAGACCTCTGCGCACTGTGATTGTTGACCGAAACCATAGTAGACATAATCAAGTGCAAGAGTTTTATTAGATTTTCTCACCACTCCAGCCAAAGTGATGAGGGTGCCCTGGACCTGGGTGTGGTTCATGTCCTCGAAAAGGTCGTTGGCCTCAAACATGTCATATGTTTTTAGGCCGTATTTACCAATGGCTCGCACAAAGTGAGTGATATTCTCCAACTAAGAGAAAAAAAAAGCAAGTTATGGATAGATTCATCTCTGGGTAAACTCCAAATTTCACCCAAATCGAAACTACTATGCCATGCCTGGAAATATAGTATTTTTTAGGTCAGCTCTACAGTTGAAGTAAACAGACTAGAGTTAATGAGGTAAAATAGTCCATTCATTAGATGAGTTTGACTCTTGAGTTGCATTCCTTGTTAATGTAGACTACTCTTAATTGCATGTTTCTTTTATCTACTGTAACTATTTGCACTGTAAATCAATATCCACTTTGACAGTGGCGAAAAGAGCGAGCCAGACTGTAGCAGAGTGTGAATCACTTCGGTACACTCATACAGTGTCTACATTCTCTGCATTTCTCTGAGTTAAACAGTACATAACGCATTCTTAAAATGGCAAAAAATTTGGCTAATAGTCTCCATTTCATAACATGAAACCCAAGAACTCACTCTCAAACATAGTATGCACACAAATCTGACTAGGAGCAATGCAAGAGATGCCTCAATATTCAAACACACTACCTTGTGCCAGTTCAGGGGTGAGTGATTGACCTTCGGGACAGATCCAGGCTGCAGTTTGTTGATCAGCCTGGTGGATGAACACCATATAAGAGCAATTATGCCAAGCACAAATATGTAATGAGTTAACTAAGGCCTAATCCTGGCTTAATCTAAACCCTGTCTGTAAAACCAGGCCAACTGGTTAAATAAAGCTTACTAACTGTCTTTGACAGCCGAAACTCACTCGCACAGGATCACACCGTCCTTCAGTCCTTGCATGAAGTCTTCAGGGAGCGTACGACCTGTGACCTCATGGATCCACGTCCTCAGAGCCTCCTCCGCCTGAGGGTCATACTTCTGTGCCAGCTGCCATGTCAAGTGATGAAAAGGTCAAAAAAGTGCTTTTTAATGGTTTCATTTGCTGCTAACATTATTTATGTAAGCTGTTTGTGGGAAAAAAAGCTTTTTTATGCATGATTATTAGACAAAAGAAACAGGTTTGCCCTTCTACTTTACCATAATATTAATAAAAGCAACAACAACAGTAATGTAGATGTTAGTGTCCATGACATCCGTAAATAGATCTTATAATGACACACTTTTCCCATTAGAAATTCAGACATAAAAGAGCATCAATAACAAAAAACATACATATTTTATGCATATTTGGGAAATGTTGCTGCTGTGTAACTCAGTACCAAAATGGGAATTTTTTTCTTCTTCTTAATACAATTAAAGTCTAAATAAATTCGTGCCTTCTTTTGTGATTCAGTTCATTCGGAATTAAAATTCCCTGTGACTCTGAGTCATTTATTATTCAACGTCGTTCTTAAAAGCTTTACTGATATTAATGTTAAACTTTACCTTTCTATTTAGTATATTGGATTTCTTCTGAAGACATGAAATATCATTTTTATTTGGACGACGCATGCAAACACACAATGTATGTATTGTTTTAAATGCTTTCATATAAATAAAGGTGATGAACAACAAGTAGTTTAAAAAAACTTTTGCTGATAATTTACTCACCCCCATGTCATCCAAGATGTCCATGTCTTTCTTTCTTCAGTCGAAAAGAAATTAAGGTTTTTGATGAAAACATTCTAGGATTTTTCTCCATATAATGGACTTCAGTGGGAACCAAACGGTTCAAGGTTCAAAAGACAGTTTCAGTGCAAACCGCAAACTGTTCAAAGGGCTTTAAACGATTCCAGACGATGATTAAGGGTCTTATCAAGCGTAACTTAAAAAACAAAACAAAGTTTAAGTTTTATAAGCTCAAATGCTCGCCTTGCTCTGTTCTGTGATGCGCGTTCGTGACTCTCCTGTTCGAACTCGTTCATCAAAATGAACGAATCTTTTCCCGAGTCAACTCGTTCATTTCGTTCGTTGAATGAAACAAATGACACGAAAAAAGATTCATTCATTTTGATGAACGAGTTCGAACAGGAGAGTCACGAACGCGCATCACAGAACAGAGCAAGGCGAGCATTTAAGCTTATAAAATTTAAACTTTGATTTTTTTTTTTTTAATGAGCGATCGTTTCGCTTGATAAGACCCTTATTCATCGTCTGGAATCGTTTAAAGCCCTTTGAACAGTTTGCACTGAAACTCTCATTTGGACCTTGAACCGTTTGGTTCCCATTGAAGTCCATTATATGGAGAAAAATTCTGGGATGTTTCAAAAACCAAAAATCTTAATTTCTTTTCGACTGAAGAAAGAAAGACACGGACATCTTGGATGACATGGGGGTGAGTAAATTATCAGCAAAAGTTTTTTTTAAAAGTGAACTACTCCTTTAACACAGCGAAAACCTACGTAGAAGAAATGTAGCGAACGCACTTGCATATGCCTTTTCTGTGAGGGTGGAGAGAAAAACAAATGTCTTATGGGGTAAAAATGCATATTATTGGCTTCAGCTTATTAATTATAACTTTTGTTTTTCAGAGAGAAATTTAAGGAAAGTAATATTTGGCATAGGAAACCATCATCAATTTAAAGCAGGAAGAACATTGTACGCTGGCAGGGCTTCTAAGTCTATTGCATTTGTGTTATAAAGTGCACATACCTTGTTCCTGACATCAGCAGAGAGTCCGAATGTGGGTCCTTTGCTGAACTGGGTGCTCATGGTCCTCGCTGTAGAGTTGAGTCCTGTGATGCAGGAGTTCGGCTCTGACCCCCTCCATCTTTTAAATGCCCCTCTGTCTGTGTGTCATCCTGTCCACGTCTGCTGCTCATTGGCTGGGGCCTCTCGACTGTCTGACCAATCGTGAGCGTGAATGCCCTGCTGGCAGGGGAAAAGGAATAGTTTAACTAAAATGTGAATTATTGTCTCTCCTTATGTCGTTCCAAACTAGTATCCAAGTGTTCTTCACTACATTTGGTTTAATTCAAAAGGATGTTTGTACTTTCTGCCCAAATGTCACTATTTTTGGGGCGAAACCTACACTTTTTTTAAAAGTAATGATAACTAATTAAGCAAGAAGGGCTGGGAGATGATGTCGGATATGGAGAGAGAGAGAAGCAAAGGAGACAGATGGAATTTGAGCACTTTATTTGGTCATGATGGTACTACAGATGTCATGCGTTTGTAGACATTAATAACCGAAAGAATTCAAAGTGAATCTTAGGGGCGAGACCAAAAATGTTCAAACTGGTGGGCCTTCTTCATATAACAAGGTGGGCAAAAATAAATACATGCCAAATTATCAGGTGGAAAACACAACAGTTTCAAGTTCAAAGTAACAAAACAGCAAATAAGAACCTACATGAATTAATGGTGCAACTAAACATTTGACCAAAATCAAGCTCAAATTGAGTTGTGAGGATTTTGACCAGCGAATTTCGGAGAATATCAGAGATGCATGTTTTGTCCGTCATTAACATACAGGTTATAAAGTTTGCTTTAGCTATGCAGGTAATTACTTCCCCCGGACATTTGGGCAAAATGAAGTGCTACACACAGACTATTTCAGACTTTGACTCCATGACCAATGCTAAACTATGACCCTCTTCTCCCCTCCTCAAATAATATATAAAACAAACAACTACTACTATGTTTGCTCACTTACCTTTACATGTCCATCTGATATTACTCTGAGAAAAGGGGTCTTCTGGTTTAAACTCTTGGATAATATTATCAAAATCAATTTCATTGCTTGGTTTCTTGCAGCAGTAACGTTACATAACCAATATATCCAAATTAGGCTTTTAATGTATCAACTGACTGATATTTGCTTTTGTTTGAAAATTTTAAAATGTATCTCCATATTTCACAAACGAGCAAATCTTACCATTACATCCTGGGTGTGACGAAACTGACGAATCAAACAGACAGATAGATGAACAGATTAGGTAAACATTAGAAATATTCTGACCACATAATACGCCTTAGAATAATTAGCTGCTCAGATAGTCCCCTTTAGTTCAAATGGACACAATATCATTTTGTTTCGCGATTATTACAAATGTGCATGTGAAATTGAATTATAAACAAGTGAGTGGATTTGTCCCTGTAGCAACCATAGATTTCCACTAGATGGCAGCATGACCATAAACCTACGACATACTCAAAGATGTTGACAACATGGGCCACACGTGCTTTTCAGAGGAAAATTGAGCAGATTTGATGAAAACTATAGACATGTTGGCTCCCCGTCATTAGCTCTTCACTTACTTTATGCCATTATATGATAGGCCTATTGAGCTGCTCACCAAAAAGAGGCGCCATTTGCTGTCCTGCAAAACCCAAGTTGCAGCAGGGCCACATTTAATGGCAACCACAGAAGCACAAGCTGTTTGGAATTATAATTGTTCTGTAAAAATAATGAAAAGGTCGTTACATTTAATTGTCACGTTATAATCGAACTAAACCATGCAATGTCAGTGAGGTCAGTTGATATCAATGCTGCGTATCTAAAAAGTCATTTGCGTGCCATGCATCACAGTTAGCCTATTTATAATCATGAACATTATTATTTTTTTGTAGATCTGCCAAGCAAATGATAAATGATGTATGCTGGATGAGTCGAACTGTTTCGCACTGCTGGGTTTCAACTTTGCACTTACTGGTCAAATAAACGTGTGCAGTACAGTTGATTTCTTCAGATGTCAATTGTTTAAATCACTATGGGTTTCTTACCAATATAACATCCTGTGACATATGGTTATAATCAGCATAAGACAGAGTTGAATATAAAGTAATCCTGCTGTGTTTTAAAGCAGGTTTGTAACAAAAGATTGTTGCTTCAAGAATCCAGACTTGACATTAAGCTTTTGACCACTCGTCTTTCAGACAAGAAAACCTGTTCGACAAATTCTCTGAAACTTTAATTCACATGTTCAAAAACAATTTTTAACAATAGACAAAGCTAATGGCACGAGGCATCAGGAATCTAAAGTCATTCGTATAGAGATCCAGAAACTCTGCCCAATTTGGACTACATAACCTTGACTGGGAAAAGAGGCATAGTTTCCAGCCCAGATTAATGTTCCTCAGCAGAGGCCAAGGGTCACCAATGATTAAAATAAAGGGTGTTTTACACTCCTGTCCTCTTAAACAAAACATGAACTGAGTGACAGAGACGCCAGCTGGGATCCACAGTGCCTGGCCTTCAGCGTCTTCTGGTTCAGTTTAGTTGTGAATAATATTACACTTATTTATTACACAATATTACACATTTACTCCAGTCTTCAATGTCACATGATCCTTCAGAAATCATTCTAATATGACGATTTCCTGCTTATTATCAACCTAGAAAACTGTTGTGCTGCATATTTATGTGGAAACTGTGATTTTTTCTTTCTTTGATTTAGGAATTTTTCACAGAAGAACTTTAAAAAATAATTATTAGAAAATAATTTAAAAAAATGTGTAGGTACTGACATCAAGCATGTGTGTATGTATCTCAACAATGGTGACAAATGAAATATTTAATTAAGAAAAGGACAGTTCAGATTTTTCACAGAAGAACAACATTTAGGCTATTCAAAATTGAAATCTTTTGTAACATTATAAATGTCTTTACTATCACTTTTGAACATTTCATGCATCCTTACATATTAAAATGATTGATTTCTTAAAAAAAAAAAAAAAAACATACCTGAAGTTTTAAACAGTAGGCCCTGTATTATTTTTTATAAATATTGTAATGGTTAAAAAAAACACACATTCATGAAAAAATAAGTGAAAAAGCTTCTACTTTTTTTATTTTTTATTTATTTAAAGAAAAGCCTTTTTCCTTTACAAGTTAATATTGATGCACCAATAATCATTATAACAGTTGGAGAAGTAGCCTACATATTTGCAAATTGATTTACATATTCATTACATATTGATTTTTAAAAAAATAATTTTTATTGCTCCAACGGAAGCGAGGAATATTAAAAATATCTCACTAATTGACACACAAGTGTCACTAATTTGAAATCATGTTTTCTCCATGTATGATTTTTCTTTGTTTTACTTTTTCTTTTCTTTTTTAAAATGCTAAAACTCAGTTTTGAACCCTTTACTGTGTGTGTTGTCATCATCTTTACATATCCTCCTTCAGGGAAGCTCATTCAGAATGATTTACAGTTTGCATTTGGCAATCATTACATTCAGAGTACAGAGAGCTGTGTCGTAATGTGGGACATGTGACCCTGTTCAATACTTTATTGTCCGCACAATTCAATGAACTATTTCCTTTCAGCATGTTTTCAATTATTCTGTCTCATGGAGGCATTTCATGAAATTATACTTTTTTTTAAAAAATAAAAAAAATCCGGTTGTACCAATTTCATAAATATGATTCCAGTAACAATAAGGGCACTGTATTCATCTGAAAATGCTCAAGGAGCCAAACGCTGAATTCATACCAACTGGTTAAGGCTCGCTCTCATAGACAGAAATGAAGGACTATGGCCAGATGTGCTTATTATTACTAATAAATAAATCATCCACTAGCCTATATATAATCTCCACTATATGGCGAAAGCTGGTTCTAGATTTTAAAGAACGCTTTAAATGCTAAAGCGACAAAACCCTTTAAGCTTCTACAGTTCTATTGTTTTTTTTTTTAGTGTAGGTTATATTTTATATCGGGTCTTATCTTATAGTTACTTCTTCATTTGCACTATGGCAAGCCGCCTTAGCTTTTATTCATTTCCAGGATATGAATTCTTGATATCAACAATTACATTTTTTCATCCGAATTGCTGATATCAATAATTAAATTGTCACTAGTTGAAATGTCTATTCTTGATATCAACAATTCAATTGGTACAAGTAAAAATGATCATTTTTGATATCTGAAAATGTATTTCTGATATCAATATTGTTTCAGATATCTAAAATGGCTTTCTGAAACAGTCACATTCATGATTTCAGAAATTAACATTGTCACTAGTAAAAATTGAATTATTGATATCAAAAATGAACATTGTTACTAGTAGCAATTATATCAAGAATAGACATTTCAACTAGTAACAATTGAATTCTTGATATCAAAAATAAAGGTTTTTACTAGTAATTGTATTTCTGATGTGAAATTGAAATTTCAACTAGGAAGAAATCAATTCTTGATATCAAAAATAAAGGTTTTTACTAGTAATAATTTTATTTCTGATGTGAAATTGGAATTTCAACAAGGAAGAAATCAATTCTTGATATCAACAATTGCTTTTGAATAGTAGCCTATGGTGACATTTCACTAGTGAAAATACAATTGTTGATGTCAAAAATTTAATTGTTGATATCAAAAAATGTAATTGTTGATATCAAGAATTCAATTGTTGACAGCCTATCAAGAATTCATATCCTGGAAATGAATAAAAGCTAAAACGGCTTGCCATATTTCCACACACACTGCCCCCATTCCTCCACCTCACATAAAACCTGTCAATGTATTATTACCTGTTCCGTCAGCTCCGTATTGACCTCCATCTCTTCATACCGGATTATGCATCTATTCTGGCCAGCCGTGGTGAAAACGACACTAAACCCCTGACAGTATCCCACAGTTTCAATTGATTTCTGTACTGAGACGTTCTGCAAGCGTTCTGGATATTAACGGCCGACTATAAATGTGTGCCGCAGAATATATCGCATCATAACAGTTTATCTCCATGTATATGTGTTGAGGCTGGATTCAGATTTAATGCGACGTTGCATTTGTCTTGTTGGTAGACGTGTTTGTGATGGATCGATCGGATTCGGGTAAAATCCTTCTGATCTTTAAATGAGATATTATGATTATTTAGGCTATAGCATGGTTTATCAAGGGCAGCTATTGGCCATCTACATGTCTTATTTTTTTCTGATTTCTTGGTTTTATGTCAATGATGACGTTTTTATTTTATTTTTATTTTTATAGGCTATTGAATTTTGTTTCTGCGAGATTGTTTATTGTTGTTTGTGTGTATGGCGCCACCTACAGGTTTCAAAACATAAGCTATAAATAATTAAATAATTAACTTAAAAAAGTTAATAATTAATGAGATATTATTAATTATTAACTTTTTTTAGATATTATTAATTATTAAAAGTTAATAATTAATTTTTTATTACCAATGTTTGTTCAGCTTGTAACGAAACTTAAAAACCTTCTCTGACTTGGTTGTCTATGAAAAGCCAGGCTGATTTTTATGGGAGGGATTCGGGACGATTTTGCCGGGAAAATCAAAAGGATGTGACGTTTATGACCCCACTCAAATGCAATGTTCAGGATAATGAAAAGGATAGAGAATAGTTCAGGATAAAGAAAGAGTCATTACTGTAATGTCAATGAAAGGCCAAAGAAAAGGGATCGATCATTACAAACTATCATTACAGTCTACTTTTATTTAATTTTAATCTGTCCACATGATCACGTTGAATCACAGAGGTGGCTGCAGTTCACTTAACGGCCACTGGTGTCGCTAATAACCATGGTTTCTGAATTCTACATTCAGTCTTTAATTTCTGTCCTAAAATCACCACTGACATCCTATTTGTTATTTTACAATTATTTATCTACTATTGTAGTGTGTCTTCATTTTTTGAATTAGCTGTCATTTATTAAACTTTTTATTTTAATTTTGTGGCTCTCTTTTTTGCATTTCAATTCCACTTTTTGTAGCCTAGACTAGCCTACTAATCTAGTACACTTGAAACTTGTGTACTGCTGATTGTATGATAAAAACAATTGTAATGTTCCTCATTTCGCTTTGGTTTAAAGTGTAATTTATAACTGTAATTTTTTTCATATTTGGTGAACCATTAAAACAGTGACTGAACCATTTTGAATGCGAGTCTTTTACACATCCTATGGAGGAAGTCCGAATGGGACTATCCTGTTACCTTTTCTTGATCAGAATAAAGCAGGTGGGTTTACACACACAGAGAAACACACACTCACGAGGCCTATCCCTATACAACACCAAGAATTCACTTTCTGCAGAGGAGGGAAGTCAAATGCTAATCAGGCTAGACTAGTCG